AATGAAATTAGTTTTCAGATAATTTTGAACCCTCAGAAAGCAGGAGAAAAACTACCATTTCGAAGAGTTCCTTCTTTTTTTTAATATTTTCTTAGCTGCAACAGGTAACACTACTAATATAGAATGCCGATAATACTGACTGGCAGGGCACGCTTGGTACTACTAGCTTTTTAAACAAATATTTGGTATTAAAAATTGTTTGCAGGTTGAGTTTAGTAGTAAGCAACATCTTGCTTAGCCTTCATTTCTATAAAAACTTTTCAAGCAATCTATCAGCATTTGCTTTCCGATTCGAATTACTCGGTATACCGATTCTGATGGTAAAAAAAGCCAATCTCGTCTAGGATTCATTGCCCACTTTAGCAGCAAATTAGTGTTATGATTTGCCAGGTATTAATTTGTTGTCTTCAGCTTTCTTCTAAGCAACTTTCTGCCCGAGAATTTTAGGGCATTGACCCCTGCTCACGCTCAATCTCGCCCATTCAAATTCAGCCTTCCCGTACCCGCAGGTAACACGTACGGCCCCGTGGAAGTTCTTTACGGGTAAATTAATATCTCGGGAACCACGAAGTCTGGGAGGCTGAAATTTTAGGGTAATGACCAACTACACACGTTCAACCTTGCCTATTCAAATTCGGCGTTCCCGCGCTCTTGAGTATCCCCTACGGCCTTGTGAAAATTTTGGCAAGTAAACTACTAACTCGGGAATCACGGAAAGATATTCACCCTTCAAGATTTCGAATTCAGCTTTCATGCGCTGATGCGTGAAATTTTTAACTATTTCCCAGAGTCTGAACTATTTTTGCATAGACTAAATTACAAAGCAGTGGAAATCATTAATAGGCAATCGTTCGATGGGTTGAATTGCACAAAACGCATGATAGCACCGGCTAGTCTGGTGCGCGTTGCTATTTATTTTGAAGGGAACGAAGAGGTTTTGGAACGTTTTTTAAAGATAACTTACAAAATAGCGAAGCGCATGTTTGTTTTGAGGCAGAAGCTGGTTTCCTGAAAACATGAAGAATACTTTCTAAAAATGAAGCGTTTTTTGATAAATCTAGAATCTTGAGAGCCTACAGTTTGGAAATACGCAACTAAAAAATTCTCTCTTAAGCAATTGGGCGGAGGGACTTTTGTAAGCAAAACCAAAGAAGCTGACGACGTTCGGGGGAAACTGACTTTCTGGATTCCGAAGATGCTGAAGGCAAGAAACCAATGGTACCAATGTGCCGAAGAGCGCTGCTTATGTAGTAGTTGCTAAACCAAAGGTTAGTTCATACCTGTCTACTGATAATAAACTCATTTGCATGTGCTGACGCTGCAGTACTGGTCGTCAGCAGACTCATTAATCCGCTACATACCGTTGAACATACAGCTAGTAAAGAAATGGCCGAAGATCACAGACGCATGGGTTTCTGGATTAGGGGAAATTTCACTACAACGTTTGCCATCAAATTTTTATAAAAATCATTGGCGACGCGCACTGGGAGGCCCTGTGCGATTATGCGTTTTTGCAGTGTTTCGCGCTGTAATAAGATTACTCGAAATTCCGCTAGGTAGAAATCTCTTGTACATACTGGTCCTAGAACTTCGGGAACTTAATTATTCACGCTATAGGTGGACAGGGAACATTTCCTTGAAATCCCAGGTTCCCAGCTTTCTCAGTTCTCGAGCCATCCAAATTGCAGTCAAAAATTTCGCAGGGCCGTGCGTAGCCACCACGCATAGCGGGGGGCTGAATTTGATAAATTCAAGTTGTAGATGAGTTGAGAGCATTTCCTGAAATTTTTGAGCCTCCCAGCTTCCCTGGTTCTGAAATTATTCATTTTTTCGCCAAAAATTTTCACGGGACCGTACTTGGCAGCCACGCACATTGGGGGGCTGAATTTGATAAATTGAAGTTGTAGATGAGTTGGGAACATTTCCTGAAACTTTCTGCCT